GTAGTGGGCTAGAAAATATAACATTCCCTTCTGAAATGTAGTGGAATGAAAGTAAAAGGTTTTAAAAAATGTAAAGTACCACAACCTCATAAATGCAAATAAGTACACTGTGGCAAATAAATATAGTAATATGACAATAAAATACATTACTAAAAAATATTAAAGACAATTATGTAAATCAGGTATAACAACATCTTAACCCTGTAATTCTAAGTACATCATATCTGATACATGAGTTTTTCAGACCTCTCCATCATCAGTAAGATTTTTTTTTCTCCAGAAAACCCTGATGTATATCTTCAGACATGCACCAAAAAATGCCTGATGTCGCGAAACTTTAACAAATTTAACCTCATACATGAAAATTTAAAAAAAAATTTATTTTATTTTTTTTGAATTTGTCAGAAGGTTCAACCAAAATTGCAGTTTCAAAAATGTTGAATTTTCTGGCAATTATTTCATGGTTCAGGCTCTACAGGGTTAAATAACACTACAGGGTCTTAAACTGCAATGTTCGTTGAGCTACTTTCATAATGCCAATCATATTCCTTTTTGACACTTTAGGCACTTTGTAACTTTGTGTAAAAATCCTTATCTGGTACATGAACATATAAATGCAGTTTGGTCATGCTAAAAACCACAGAAATAAACCACAGTTTTTACAGCATACATTTACGTTTGTCATAGTAAGAACAGGACAGATGATACCAAAACACTAACGATGACTCTGTTCTAGTTGAGTGCTCCATGAAAAAACGTCAAATTGTCTTTAGTAAATATGTGTACAAAGAAGGGTCAGAATAAATTCCAAATGTTTGGCAGCTAACAAATGAACTTGTGCTCATCCTGATAACATCAGTTGCTAAATAAGGAACACTGAGGTGTTTGCCCTGTGCCTGGATGGTAGAAACAGGGTCCAAATATGCACTTTTCTTGTAAACTTCAAATTCCATTGACTGTCTGTTTGGGCCCTATAACTCTTACATAATGCATATTCTACATATTCTACATGTCAGCCACACATCGCTGATGAAATCCCTCAATTTATGGACCAGCTCAAGACGAGTCACCCATTGTGGAATGTCTGCTGAAACAGGCCCGGTTCTGTTCTAATTATAAACTCTCTTTCTTCTTTGGTGCTTAACTTTCTGAAGTTTTTCGTATCGACCCTCAGATGTCAAATTTATGACAAGAAAAGTGACAAAAAGCAGAATACAGCAGGGGCCTATTTTAAGACATTCCACAGTGACTCAACCGGCCTTGTGTAACAGTTCACCACACGTCTTGCTTTACATTTCCTACATGGATCATTTGTGTGTTTGTGTATTGATAAAGTTCTGCCTATGACTGTATCTCTTGGCTGTCTGCTTGTCTGGCTGCGTATCTACTGATTCATTCATCACACATACTTCTCAGCATCATCAAAGTGACATCATTGTCCTCTTCTTAGCAGCTTTTAAGAAGCCCCAAACATTTGGGAATCCATATTGCCAGGGGCCAGCATCCTCTGGAAAAACATCTGGGGGAAACGCACCAATAAACCAGTGATTTACATCAATTAGATAATCCCAACAGGACAAATTCTGGGTCAAGCGCCCGCCTGCCCTCCTACGCTCCCTGTCAGCCTCAGGTGAGTGGAATAGTCTGTTGGCAAGTAACGGGTTAGTGTCTGTCTCCCCTCTACACCTCCTCGTCTCATCCCTTCACCCCCCTTCATCTCCAAGGGCTATATATTGGAGGTCGTGACTCGTCTGCATCTTCAGCATCACTCGCACCCGCAGACACACAAACGCAGACGTGTCTGGTTCATTTTGAGCGACAGCGAAGACGAAGACCAGACTAGCAATGAGGTCATTATTGAAGCTTGTTGTAATTCTTTTCTGTGTCCAGAGGGGAGAGGGCCACTGGCTCAGATCACTGATCGGTAAGTGATGGCTGAAGGGAAGCTCGTGACCTATGACCTTCTGCTTTGAGATCAATGTAAATGTGCATAAATATGCCAGTAATGTTGCACATCAAATGTAAAAATAACACTCTCCTTTTCAGATCAGACACAAGAAAGTGCGTCTGCACACGTGTCTCCAGACGAGGACCAGAGAAGCGGATATCCAGCCGTAGACGACAGCCAAACGGAAGCTTCCGGAGTCGGGTTATCTAGGAGCCCCATCGTCCCAGTCCGGTCACGCCGCTCGGCTCTCGACTCCCAGTGTGAACTGCGGTCCATCCTGCTGCAGGTTCGAGACCTGGGGCTGGGCTACGACTCAGACGAGACCGTCTTATTCAAGTATTGCAGCGGGACGTGTCCCCACGTTCGCTCCAACCACGACCTCACCCTCACCAACCTGATGCTCAGTGGAGTGCTCTCCCACCCGGCACCCGGGCAGCTGTGGCACAATGCACCCTGCTGCAGGCCCACCCACCACGAGGACATGGCCTTCCTCGATAACTCGCACCGCTGGCACAAGGTGGAGAAACTGTCAGCGGCAGGCTGCAGCTGTGTGGGCTAGACGGCTGAATGTAGACGGGTAGAAGGAAGAGGTGAGAGGGAAGCGGTACAAGACAGTTTGTGAAGAAAGAGCTATTCTGAGAGGACACATTTGCTGTCTCTAACACCGGTAAATGAAGAGTTTAATTCCATAATGGAATACAAAATTAAGCTACTTTTTTTCTGTCAGTTTTGAGTTCATGTTCATTTTGAGTCTGAGTAATCTAGTGTCGGCATTAAATCTGTACAGGGGATTAGAAGTGAGCTCTTCAAATGTAAATACTTGACACAATCTTCAAAAAAGCTGAAATTGAACACAGGATTCTACAACAAACACTTGACCATTTTGGTAAATAAGCTGATGTGTATTTATTTGAAATCTTCTGTGTAATTTGGGGGTTAATAATAAAACCAATATGCACGAGGCTGCGTAGACACATGCTGTGGTTCGCTGCTGATTTAGGCTCTTTACCAAAAAGATATTTGTGTCAACATTTTAAAAATGTATTTATGTAAGATAAGTTATTTATTTATTTGATGCTGGGATTTTGTTTTGTTATGCTAACTTATTTTCTAACAAGCTCATTTCTTTGTTGATTGTGTGAACAGTCCCTGATTTAAAAAAAAATAAACTTGTACAGAACAAAACAATATTCATGAGGTTTTTTTGTGTCCAAACACAAAATTCACGATGGTGGTGCACTTATACAAAGTTTATTCAAGGGTTTTGTATAAAAATGCATAAATGTTTCATACACATACAAACATCCTCAATCATCTCTTTCACTTTTACAGTTCACTCATGTATTCAATTCAAAGCTACATCCAGATCATGCCTGGTCGTGAACCAAAATACTTTTTTTCAGTCTTTGTATTATTTGTGTCAGCTGGTATGTTCAGCATTTGTTGATAAATACCATGATTAAAGGCATGTGCACTTTACAACGGGCTACACCCAATCACATTTGTCAAGTCTGCCAGGGTACAGATTCGGCTGGAAATGCTCACACTGCTGACAATTTACAGCTGATTTTCCAGTACCAAACCTCCGATGACCTCTACAAACAGAAACTGAATGTGGGATGTTTTCATGTCACCATCAGGTTTGTCAAGTAGACTGTGTGTTATTGGAGTAACAGAGAGCAAAGTCCTCGCAACCCACAAATGCGTTTTGTGACTACTTTCACTATGTGGCCATCGCATCCTCGTCCGCCTCCTCTGGCTCTGACGCCCACACCTGGACACGCCCCTCCATGGCTGTGAGGAGGCAGGTCTCTGTGGGGTGGAAGGACAAAGACTGGACAACCGCTTTCCCTACTGGCAGCTTCAAGGACAAAGACCCCTGGAAATGACAGAGGCAAAAAAAAAAAGAAAGTTTTACATTAGGTCATAATGGATCGGGATATTCTCAGACAGTGAGTTTGACAACCAGCTCCTCCAGTCAGATACGATTCTGTCATCAAGGTTCTGATGAATGTGAACTGCGTGCATCCAACTCACTCTTTTCTTTGTACTTCTTTCCACTGACATTCTGTTTAACTCCTCTTTTTTCACCTGTTCTTTAATTAACCTTAAATAAAAATGTGACTGCGTAATTACCTCCACCAGGTCCCAGCAGTACACGTGTCCGTCCTCTGAGCAGCTCAGCACGTGGGTGTCTTTACTGGACAGGCAGCAGTCCAGCTTGTAGCCCTTCATCTTGTGTCCAGTATACCTGTACAAACAAACATCAAGAAACATCAATGCACTTCACAGACACACAAACAGTACAAAACAAAAGTAAATATTACCTTTTTAATCCCTTGACGTTCTAATGTGCTGAGCTGGTTTAGACAGATTAATATGTCACAAATTGACTCAACAGTGTTTAAATGCTGAAATGATTACAGTTTTATTATTCTTTTAAGTGTGATATTACTCTTTAACATGAGGAAGGCTTTGCTTTTTTGTTTTAATCAAAGAAACTGAATTGTAGAAAACATCTGAAAGTGATTTACACCAAGATTTTTATGCGTGCATCCAAAATGTGCAGTGTATCCTACAACTATAGGACATTAAAAAAACACACACACACACACACACACACACACACACACACACACACACACATACGCAGCCAGGATGATCCAACCTTCATAAGGAGGATCATCACTGGCGACGGTAGGGGAGTCTGCAGCTACCACCGCGGGAAACAATGGCAGTGTCCACAGTGGAAAGGCCTGCAGTCTCCACAACTGGACAAAGCATGTGGTGGAGGCCAGACGCAGAAGGAGCATGCTCATTGTTGTCCTTAACATTCATGGGGTTGTGCACTGGGAATTAGTGCCCTATTAGTGCCCCGTTGTGGAATTTTACTGTAAAGTCCTGAGGTGAGAACATTTGGCGTAAACAACCTGAACTGAGGTGTGATGGCATGTGGGTGCTCCAACGCCCCGAGCGCCTGGTCACACCATGGCAACACCTTTTTTTGGCCACAACCACACAATTATTGCTCCCCACCCAACCTGCTTGTTAGAGTCAGGCCACGTTTACACAAAGCCAGGTATTTACAAAAACGGATCTACGTTTCAAAAATAACATTGTTCACACCAGATCGTTTTCAAAAAAATCTTTGTTTACATAAACCCACAGAAACATTGTTAAGAGCTGCTATGAGCATGCCAAACCTATAGGGGGCAGTGTAGCGACAAGCATAAAGCCATGTTAGCCAATCAGAATCCTGGAAAAAACAGAACAACGAATGGCACAAAGAATTTCTTGTTACTTCAACGATAATGGCACGAGGGTCGTTTGTTTGGACCGACAGAAATGGAGCTACTCCTACATGGGGTGTTAGAGTACAAAACAAGTAAAATACTCGAAAATATTGACTTTCTATTACAGTAGCCAAACTGTAAACTTGGGCTGCACACATATGACGCTGACGACGCTTTTGTCACATATTGTGACGTCATACTCCGTCTCCTCCTGTCTACATGCAAACATAAAGACAGAGTTTATCCCCAAATGTCCACTGTGGCCTGAGTTTTCAGAAATGATAGTTTTCGGCGACTTGTAGCTTCATAAACAAAAGGCCCAAACACATTGAAATATCACCGTTTTAGCTATGGGTAAACAAGGCCATAGTTCCTCTTATCCAAAATGAAGGGTTGCCGTTTTGACACAGTTCTGGAGATTCAGTGCTCATCACAGTTTGTGCTTGACATGTTTGCAGAAGTGTGGCACAAGAAGCCTACTTCAGCTTTTACACTGCAGACTTGCTTTTATGCATTGCCGATCTTTATAACAGAATTTTCAGATGTTTTATAATATCATGAAACAATAAATTGCCAAAATGAAAAAAAGATGTTTTTTGTATTAGCTGACTGGTAACTAAAGCACCAATGAGAGCATGTCACACTGTAAAGGAAGGCAAAGAGCACTCACTCTCCCAGCATTTCCCCGGTGCTCTTGTCCAGGAGTCTGACTGCTGAATCTAAACTGGAGCTCAGGGTGCACTGGCCGTCTTGACTGAAACAAACACAGGTAATAGGACCTGGAAGATACAGACACAAATGTGACTTACAGAGTTTTGCGTTTTTAGTTACTTACTGCCACTTACTATGACAATTTGTATAATCACTGCTGATAATAATACCAGCAATAGTTATTCTTATTACACTTCAGGAATGTTGAACAAATATGAAAAAGATTACTAACTGCTGATGAAGTCAACATGCAGTTGTCCCATTCTGAGGTCGTAGCGCCTCACTCTGCCATCCACCGAGCTGAAAACGAGATGATTATTATCAAAAACTGCCAGAGCAAAATTTAAAAATCAAATCTCTGTCTAACTGGTAGAAAGGTGAGTAAATGAATGATAAAACTGGTGATCCATTATATCCTTAAACTGCTGCGGCCCAAATAAGCAGGAGATGATGTATGCGTCAGTGATCACATCTACAAATTACAGACAGCTTACATTGGCTTTGATGGCCAAAACGCTCTCTATTGTACTGACCCGGTAAGCAGCTCGTGTTGTGCCACCTTAATGCTGCTGACGCTGTCACGAGCCTCGTCTAGAACCTGGATGGGTTCATATCTTCTGGATCTGGTGTCCCAGCATCGCACTGTCCCATCTATGGACCCTGAATGATGACAGAGCACGTATTGTATAGAACACACAGTGAATACATTCACAAACAAACAACAATTAAACGAACAGACACAAACTAGAACACAATTAGAAATAAATAAAGGTCAACATTGGATGATTGAAGAATTAAACGTTAAAAATAAGACTTCACAAACATGTTATCGTAGGAAATGTTATATAATTGACACTGTTTCTAGTAAAATAGAACAGATACAAGTTGCAGCAACCACAAAGTAAACAAATACTAAATAAATTAAATATATATTTTATATCCATTTTTCAAATGTGACCACTCACCAGACAAGATGACAGTTGCCTCTTCATTGAACTGCACACAGTTAACTTTCTGTGGAACAAAGATTTGAGCAAGACATAAAGAAAGTCAATAAAATGAAAAACTAAAACAAAAGAGAGACAATGAAACTATGCAGAAGCAACAAAAACATATCAAAGGTTTTTAAAGTAAAATGACAAACACAAATATTGAACACAAAGCTGTAAAAAGCAGAACTGACCCCAGCGTGACCTCTGAGTTTGCGTGTAACCTGGCCTGTGGCTACGTCCCACAGAATCACTGTCTTGTCAGAGCTACACGAGCAAAGCTGGCTGTTGTCATAGGAACTGTGGGAGCAGCCAATGAGAAAAATGAACTGTTATGTCATGCAGGGGGAAGGAGTTGTAAAGACGTGTCAGAAACTTCAGCATCTGCAGCAGTACCAACAGAGTGGTGGACCAAATAAGTGACGGAAACAACATACAACACCTAATTAGAAAGTGCTGATGGTGACTTTGTGGCTGAAGTTGAGCACACAGTCTTAACATTGCTTGATGACTATCACATTAGATAGTCGTATTCAACATTCCTGACACAGTGTGGACAATGCTCTGATAATTCTCTTACCTGTCAGCATCCAGAACCTCGTATCCATGGCCACTGTAGGTCTTCAGCAGGGTGCCTCGGCTCACGCTCCACAGCTTTAAAGATTTGTCACTGCCACAGGACAGCAGGTAGTTCCCATCAGCTGATCAAGCAGAGAGATATGAGTCAGAGACACATATAGGCTATAGATATTGGAGGGGTTTACATTTGGGATGGGGAGGGCTGCATGCTTTGACAAAATTTAGCCATTTGCTAGAAGTCCATCATATAATTGAATAAATGTTTACACACCTTGACAATAAGCTTATACAAGATTTACTATAACAGGCAACCAACTGGTAAGTTTATACCTAACAGTCTAAACATTACAATAATAAGTAATGTGGTTTTTTTCATACCATTGAAGCGAACAGCCCTGACAGCTCCTTGCTGGCAGTCTATGGTCCTGAGGAGATGCTGAGGAAGCTGAGGAGCCTGAGGTCTGGGCTGAGGAAATGCCATTACATAACCTGTGTGGAAAAACACAACACAAACCATGGAAACCTATCAGAAACACCAATCACTTCTAGTTTCAGTCAGTAAACAGATACTTCAAAAAGACTCAAAATACAGGTCCCAAAGCAGAGAGAATTGAATACACTCATGATCACAGACACAAAATAGAGAAAGCCGTCATTTCCGGTAACCTAATTGTATCATAACAGTTTAAAAAATGGGCAGTGAACAACTGAACTTCATCAGTTTTGGACCTTATTGTGATAATAAGGTGGTCCTAAGAAGAAAATTTAAATTTAACTTAATTCTTCACTCCACAATATTTTTTGCTTCTGCTTTGCACTACCACAGTTATTTATATTTTTAGTGACTTTTATGTTGTAGCTATTTTTATCATGCACATTGTACCTTACTGTATATTTATTGTTGCACCAACCCACCAGAACAAATTCCTCATATTGTGTAAGCTATACCCGGCAATAAATCTGTTTCTGAAACACGTATAGATGCCACCGTGACTCCCAGTCTGCATAAAAAAATATAGGTATATATAACTATAGTTTTTAAAGTAGAAAAAAGTGGAATCTATGACCTGGCCATGTATGCTACCAGACCTGAAACCAATAAAACACCTTTTAGGTGTTTTAAAGACAAAAGTAGAGCAAAACAAGCCTTTCAACAAAGAGGTGAAAACAACTATCTCTGAAGAATGACAAAACATCTCTCCAGCAAGTTGGTGTTCACCATTCTGGGGATTACTTCTGTCACCAAAAACAAGAAGTGAAGACATCAAGTAAAGGCAACATGAGAGCTTCAATCTCAATAAGAAAAGGTTTACTAACATGCATTGCACTGACTTCCTATTGCGAAGGCTGCATTTTAAATGGAGTAGATGTAAACTGTTAGTTTTTAATTTTACTTTAAAGCAAATACCCTACTGTTCAACTTAAAAGCAACGCAATTGTTGAGAGGAGAGTCAATCTAGAATCATTTGACATAATTACACAGGACAGTGCTCCTTACTGCCGTAGACAGTAGAGAAGGATGAGTACTTATCATATAGAAGTGAATATGTTCAATTAGCTTTTACAGGGGAAAAAAGGAACCAAAGGAACCAATAAGGGAGCTTATGGGATACATTTTTGGTCACTTCTCCTCAATGCATCGATGACTTCAAGATTTATTTTGACAAAACTAACACGCATTTTACTGAAAACCCACAAAACACATTTAAATGGTTACACTGACGTTATTTAGCTGACTTACTTGAACCGTTTAATCAGAGTGTAATTTCAGAGGACTTCCATGTTAGTATTAAAAATATATTAAGTAAGTTTATCCCCAGTTTGTATCCATGCACAGCTCCTTCCATTCAGTTTACCCGTAATGTTTGCTAGCAGCCGCAATGCACACTGGGATCAAATACTCCTGTCAAAATAAAAGTTCAGAAACCTCCAACGCAAACAGTAACCTCCAAGAAGCCTTCAGGAAACATTAAATGTTTGCTTAACTTTCAGGAAACATCCAGAAAATGTTTTGTGAAGGTTTCCCTAAGGTTGGTGTTTGCAGGACCTTCAGAGGACGTCCAGGGAATGTTTGCGGAAGCTTCCCTGAAGGTTACATTTTGCTGGGCTTTTATTTTTAAAGACACCGGAACCGACTTCCCCTCTCCTCCTGTCACGATTAGGGCAGTCAGCTGTCTGTCGGTCACCAGAGTTTAAATTTCTTCATTTGAATTTATTACAGGAGGACATTTGACCTTATTATGTCTTCCAACAATATGGCAGACCCGAGGAGGCAAAATAAGATTTTGAGGTGAGTGTGTTACACAGAAAACAAGGCTTCACTGGACAGAATTAGCCTGTAGCTTGACGGCTAGCAGCTAGCTAACCTTTATACCATCCTGAGTGCAGCCTGAAGGGATTAGCGTTAGTGATTTAGCCACAGGACATATTATACACCCCTGAAAAGCAACCGTGTGATGATAGTCAACTAATATTTAGTCTGCTGTCAGTGATTTAAATGTTCTGGTGTTTAAACTTACCATGTTTAAATACCTCAGTAGTTTTACTTTTCATCTGTTAACCCGTTATTTACCCTTGTGTTAGTCGATTTGTAAATTAGTTTCTCATTGGACTTCACTGTGGTTACTCGTCACTGATTTATATAATCTATGTTACAGAAGGCCTTTTTTTTAAAGTCTACTATAATTAACTAGTCACTTGTCGCAAAAATAAATGACAACTGCAGCAAATCCTGTGACATTGCTGGGAATACACCTGCGGTATAAAACCAAAAGCATATTCATATCCCTGTCCTCAAGTTTTTGCTAAAATGCACCTTTGACTGGCGGCTCTTGTTCCAGTTTCTTCATGGTAGTGAAGGGGAATCTCAATGCTGATGCACACAATCGTAATGTTGTGGACAATACTTTACGTCTATTTTGTGTTAACACTTTGGGATTGTATCAACATGACAGGTCCCTTTGCCCCACACTGACTCTATTAAGACATGTTTTTTTTGCAGTACGGGGTGTAAGAATCTGCTCTGTCATTCATCCCACACTTAAACTTTATCACACACAAGTGGGATTAACTGGTCCAACACCTACCAACTAAGCACTACACCAATACTCCTGTAGCTGAAATCCCCTGTAGTTTGGTCCTAAACTCTAGTGGAAAGCCTCCCCAGAAGCTTAGTGGTTGTTGTAGCAGTCTGTTCATGCTCATGGTTTTGGAATTAACTTCAACATATGGGTGTAATGTAATACTTTAATAATAGCGTTAGACCGGTGCGCTTAATCATGACAGGATCTTATCATCAAAAAAAAAAAAAAAAACTTCTTCTATGATCTGTTTGGTTGATATACATGACTGGTGTTGCAGGTACAAGCCCCCCAGTACAGAGACCAACCCAACACTGGAGGACCCCACTCCTGACTACATGAACCTGCTCGGCATGATCTTCAGCATGTGTGGACTGATGCTCAAGGTGACCTACACACACACACACACACACACACACACACATCCTCACACTAGAGCTCTGTGGCTCCCATCTCCATCGTCCTCTACCTCTATGTATGTTTAACTGTGTCCATATTAAGCATGTGATTCGGATGAAGTAGACCTTGGTCCATCCCAGTCGTTCCATTTAGAAGATTAAAGGTAAACTCACCTTAAAGATGAAAGGATGAAGGGCAGCTGCTCACTTTCAGCACTAAGGACACAATAAACCAAACAAATAGGGGGCAGCAGCAGACTGCAGCTCACAGTTCAGTGGTAGGTAACTACTTTAATTCATTGTCTGTTGATCAACTAACAACAAATTTTACTGTCTTTTGTGTTTTGTTTTTTTTTTGTTTGTTTTTTTTTCAAAACAAAATTCCTTAAAATCTTTTAGAAGTTATTTAGCAAAAACTAGGAATGACTTTGATTTCTTGTTTTTCATCCATGTTGGAAACACTCAGTTCTAATAAAATCAAATAGCTGTATGTTTTAATGGAGCTGCACAAACAATGGCACCACCTATTATATGAAGGACAATTGAGGCCATTCTTTGCCTTCAGAATAGTCTTTTTCTGAGAGTGGTGTTATCACATTTGGAGTTGTGTGTAAGTGGGATACACTCCATTTTGCATCCTGCATCCTGGCCATCCATCCCTTTGGGAAACTTCAAGTCCAAGTCATTGACTAAACTCTAAAAACTCATCTCTTTGTATTAAACTTTCTTCCATGAAAATAACCTCTTCCTGCCTTTAAAGGGCTTAGACGTAACTTTACACTGTTTGCGCCTCTACTTTTAGAACGTGCAAATCTATGAAGTCCCTGCCCCTTCATTGACCCATTTCTCACACTTTCTGCATCTGAAGCACACCAGCTCACCTAAAACTCAACTAACCTAAAACTAAAACCTATACACTGTAAAACTACTATACTTTGGATGTAATAATCTGTACATGTTCAAACCACAAACAAATTCTGAAGGTTAAAAATGATGTGGAAAATCCAACCCTGAAAGCTGACAGGATTGGTTCCGTCAGTCAGGTATGAAACAATGGAAGGCTGAAACAGTGTTTTTATGACTGTCATTGGTGCACTGCTGTGTCAAGGTGGAAATGCTCAGCCTTAACATTGACTGATTTTTTTCTGAACATGTTCAGTAAAAGCTTTTGAGGGTGTCTTTCAGTCCTAACGCTTTATAATCCTCGCTAAAACAGTTTCTCTGTTTGTTCTACAAGGAATGTATGTTCACTAACAGACCACCTGACATCTTATTTAAAGAATTTTAAGCTTTTTAATCTTCAGTCAGCTTGTTAAGACCACGGTCTGTAGATAAAAGATCAGCATAGTGATTGGTTCTGAAAACTGAAGCCAATGGGGAATTGCCTTAAAGTGCAATGTCACTGAGGGCCTTTTAAAAGCTCTGGCTCCCATAGACTCCCATTCAACAATCATTATGAAAAGTGAAGTCAATAATCTTTTTCCACAAGTCATTATTATTTATTTTTTATTTTTGTTTTGAATTTCTCTCTTACTGATCAGTGTACTGGTGGTCCATCGGGAAATAACTCCATAAATAAACAAAAAGTCTCAACGTCCGCTAAGTGTGTCATGTTTGTGGTTGGCTTGATTGACATTTCTGGTCAGGAGTGATCATGCGCTCAAGTTCACAGTCAGCTCCATCTCTTGCTTCTTCCTGGATCTCTTCTTATCCTCCAATTGTGGGGTACGTTCTAATGTCCATACTGTCAGTATGCCAAAAAACAGATCTAGTATGTCCCAAAACACAGTATGTCAGATATACTATACTGAAAATACCCAAATGTCCTACTACATCAGGTTGGATTTTGCAGTATGTAATCCTGCTTTTCTGGCTATTCTGACCCACAGTTGACTGCGCTGTTACATCACATATGTCACAGTGTCTCACAAGTTTGAGCAGCTGAGATCACACAGACAGATGACAGATCATTTCACACTATAGACTGCAACAGTCAAAGTTTAAAGTACATTATTCCCACAAGTAGTATGTCCTAATTCTATGCATACTGCATGAAACAGTACATCGTTTGTAAGGGCAGCTGTAGTATGACTGAAAGTATAATGGAAAAAGTATGTGGCGTGGAACGCAGCCATGGCCACCTCTGGCTCCAAAAATGTCACAATGGTGACTAGAAAGTAGCAGCCTCGAGGCTTTAAAATGATAGCCAGCAAAACAGTGGGTAACATTACAGTGGCTGGATCCGTCTTTTATATACAGCCTATGGTTAGAACACAGAAGCAGTCCAGATCTCCAGAAAGCTAAACCTTGTTTGTTTTTTAGCTGAAGTGGTGTGCCTGGATCGCGGTCTACTGCTCTTTCATCAGCTTTGCAAACTCCAGAAGCTCAGAGGACACCAAACAGATGATGAGCAGCTTCATGTGAGTATACATCCAATGTACTGTAAACAACATAACATACCTACACCTGCAGTGCACCATTAATATAATACCATGTGCAGGATAGGCTGGTAAAGGTTATTTTAACATGTTGGTGGGTCTAACTAGCACTAATGAAAGCTGTCATTCAGTACCTATATCCAGGACCAAGTTAAATTAACCTGTGGGGGTTGTACCGTGGACGCCATAGAGACCAGAATTATAGGTTTAGCATTTGTATGTCCAACCTGCTGGAGAGAGTGCTGCCAGGCTGTTTGAGGAGACTGTTGATAGGCTTTCAGTCAGTTTGGCTCATTTCCCAAATTTACCCAAAAACCTTAATGTTGGACAAACTGAAAGAGTCTGTAGTGTCTCAGTGTTTATGAATGTGTCCCTCTTTCTGCAGTAGCTCTTAGTGCTGGGGGCTGATAAAAGGAACACGGGAACAGGTCTAGCATTATGCATTTTTAAAACTGTAGGTTAGATCTTGTTTCTGCCCGCTATTGGGACTCCAGACACGCCAACTTTAATGTCCAAAAGCTTTTAACTGTGTGACCTCTCCGGGTGATACATTTGCTTATGAAAGAGTGTTATAGTAGGGCACCTGTCCAGGCTTCACAGACAGATTTGCAATGAGGAAAAACCTTCTTGTCCATTGTCTAGATGAGGTTGTATTAAAGAGAAGCTTGATGCACTCATAGCTTAGTAACACAAAACGTTTGGCTCAGCAAATAATGCCAGACGACGAACTTAATGCACCAGCCTTGAAGCTGGTTCAAGGCCAGTTTTAGGACTTTGGTCAAACGCCAAGATATGATTTAGGAATCCCAGTGTTATTAAACAAGGGTGAGTGTGTATACAGGAATGAACAAGCTGTGGATGGTAGGTGTGTCATTGAGGTTATCAGTTAAATCTGCCTCCACATATGTTTAGGTAAATTAGCCCCACAGCAGCTTCATATGAAGAATGAATTAATATTTTGGTTTTAATCTCACTTGTGCTCGACTGCAATGTTTCATAATGAGCCAGCTTGTCGGCAGCATATCTCCCTGGGTAATTAAGAGCAAACTGGAATGTGTTTTTGCCTTATAGCAAGGTAAAGTTGTTGTTTTTTTTTCCCCCAGACTGCCTTAGAATCTTGCCTCTGGATAATTATACTCTTTACTCTTTCAATTGATTTAATTACAAAAAATGAACTTATGCGTACATAATTCTGAACAACAAATACATTGAATTAAAGTTCAAGAAATACTCATATTTTAGTTTCCGTGTGATTTTTTTATAACTAAAGTTGCACAATTTACATGGTGCTTTCTCCATTTTTTTCCCCCTACTGTCTTCAGGTTGTCCATCTCAGCAGTTGTGATGTCCTACCTCCAGAACCCACAGCCGATGTCACCACCATGGTAACCAAGGGTCAGTCTCAGAGAAGGACAGAAGTAAATTGCAGATGCTGGGGTGGATGACAAGACAACTGACTGATCCCCCTGGCTATCTATGAGGAAAAACAGAGACGAAGAGGGAGCTAATGTGATATAAAGAGTAGAAGGGAGAAAAAACAGATGACCAGGCAAGGTGGACAGTAAGGAGGACACAATGTCAAGATGGAAAGATCAGACGTCTTTGACTTTGTTCTCAGATTTTTTGTTTTTTTACCTTTTCTAAGTCTTTTGTTTGTTGATGAAAACTTTAAAATTTGACTACTGGACTGAACTGTTGCCTCATGTCTTAAATAAAGTTATACGGTTTTAAAATGATCTGCTGCATTTTATTTGGCTTAGAAAGGAAAATTTTGATGCCATACTAACATCACATGTATTGTTACATTATTCACTCACTGTTCTGTGACATCAAAGTGGTATTTATAGCTTGGGTTCTCATATTTTTGTCCAGCCCCAATATATCTGACCTCCTGCCTCTCTTGATCCCTTGTACAATTTCAGTCAACTTTAGTTTACTTTATTTACCAAGGATAATGTGTGTGAATGAATAATTGACAGTGTATGCGCTTTGAGTTGCTCCTTGTGTTAGAAAAACGCGATATAAATCTAATCAATTATTATTATTATCATTTGTTGCCCAATACTATGTTCATGTATTAAAACAAACAAATCAGGCCATTGACCAAGATATCAAGGAATCAGTACATACTACTTATTAGGAATTCAAGTCAAATATATTTATTTAATACTTATTTAGTAAAAGTACACTTCTAAACCTACGCGGCCAACTCTGTTTATAGTCTCAGATGAGTTTCAGTTAAACTCAACTTTATTTACGCCTAATTTTACACAATTTACAGTGATACAACAGACACATAGAGAGATGACCAATGAAAGGGAAGCTAACAATTTCCCTGAGGTTGTATACCGAAGGGATCAATAAAGTTTTATTCTATTCTATTCTATTCTATTCTATTCTAAATCAGTGCCAGCCTACAGTTATTATCAAAAAGCTGTTCAGCAACAAGCTGTATTAATCCCACCCCACCCACAACAAATGTGATAATAGAGTTTTACTTCTCTGCTACATCTACTGAACAGCAGCTACACACACAGTCATAAATTCACGACTTCAGATGACTTCACAATTACTTGCAAATATTTCCAGGAGACTTACTTTAACCTTTATCGTAGTTACTACCTGCCTACACCTAATCTTACTGTAACCTTAAAACATATCTTCCCCCTAAGAATTCATGATTTACATAACTTGGACTTGAAGACTTTCTGTCCCCATAAGGAGCACATGTCCCTATACTGTGACTATGTAAACAGATGTAGGTCCCCATAATGTAGTAGTACCTGAACCACACATAAACACTTGGGTGTATCCCTCTCCAGTTTTTCACTTAGTCAGGGCACTGACGACAACACCTGCAGACACCTCCACCATTAACTGCTCGTGTGTGCTGATGACAGCCAAGAAGCTGGGGAGTCAGCTGGATGTGAGACTGATTTAGTGGCGTATAACTCACGTCCCTCCAGGCCTGGCTCCACTGCAGCCACACCAAACGGGCACTCGAGTTGCTTGGCTTGCTGCCACATTTTTAGCAAACTCCACTGGATTTTCTCCTGATTTTGTCCTGACTCAAACTGCTAACAGACTCACTTTTTCAAGCACTTAAACGACACCCTTTATCCCATTGTTGTGGTTTTTCCATGCTGTCCCATTCATAATGGTACATTTGTTGTTGATTCCTATCAGTGGAGAGGATATTGAATTTGTCCGAGTCAGCAGTTATCGTCAGAATTGATCGGTGAGCTGCGTAATTTGGATATTAAAAACTGTCACAGTTTGCTGAATGTGGATCTAAAGTTCAGTGGGTGACTGGCTGGAGGGGATTTTAATTAAATCTAATCTGGATATTCTGCCCTGCTGGATCCGCACGATGAGGGCAGAGTGTAGGCAGACTGCTGGTCTCTTGAATTCATATAACACTAGAGGGCACAACAGCACCACAAATGAATGAATCTCTAATGAATTGTCAGCAAATAATGCAAGTCAGTTTGTAGTTGAAAGCAAAAAATCTGTTAGCGTGTTGGTTCTCCATAACTGCTTTAATGATCGTGTGGGAGGACATCTGGTGTGGCATTGTACTTAATAGTTTTTATTTATTTGTCAGGGACTGTGCACAAAAGCATTAATCTCATAAAAGAAGATCATGGCTAATTCCTCAGTCTCTGGACAGGCAGGTACTAAAAAAAAAACACAAATACATATCTAAGGTACTTAATATACATTACATGATATGATCAAACATACATACGCAGCCTAACAACCCCTGTCCCACTCCACAGCACACACACACCATAAAACACACACTTACTCTCCCATTCAATGTCCCACCATCACATTAGTATATAAATTCATCTGTAGTTTATCCCATATGGATAAAGATGATGTGATTGTGCCTGATTAACACCGACAACAATATAAAATCCATTTTTAGCATCATGAGAAAAAATACTAGAATCTACATAGTTTCCATTTACTATATGTTCATCACTATATGGGTTGTTCTGCTCCTTGATGGCCTTAAATGAAAAGACAGATTGTGTAAAGATGGAGCTTCTTTTGGGGACTCTACACTTTCCCTTTATATTCTTAAAACGTGGCTTTCTGTATTTACTTGGACATCACAATGATGATACATTTGTGGTGTCTTCAACAAGACTTTCAAAAGCTTGTTTCTGAAGTTATTTTATTGGGTTTAAAGGTGTGAAAGATGCAGCATTTGAAAATATCATTGCATTGTCTTACACCACTGAGGCTTTGTCAGTGAATTTCTAAAAAATCTGAAGAGCTATGTTGTGTTTCAGTCTATTACCCATCTTCTTGATGTGCTTTTTTTAAAGTATTTTTTTTTACCCAAGGCTTTTGTTAAAGCTTTGCAAGGAATACAACTTTAAGCCAATTTGAAATTACTTGTAGCAGCTACTTGATCAGCATCTCACCCATGTGTGTATATGACTGAGTCGTCTGCATACATCAGGATTATTACATCCTCATACACAGGCAGCAGGTTTTTGATGTTCAGCGTGAATAACAGTGGCCCCAGCGTTGATGCCATATTTGCACTGTATGGCACCAAAGCCTTACACTTCTTAATAATGTACAATGGGTGGAAGGTGGTCTAACAGAGCCAGACTACCACAGTTCTCAAAGTTCCTTCCTGTAAAGTTTCTCTGTGCCTTGTTCAACTGATTTCATATCAAAGAGGGAGTAAATGCATTATGTTTTCTTCTGCTTAGTTAAGCAGTTCCACCCCTGACAATCACAGGAAGACACTGACTTCTCCTCTGGGAGGTAATCTTCTATGTCACCTAGAAACCTAACTGTCACATCTCTGTAGTAAAGCAGATCATTTCCAGTAATGCTTTGCTTTCAGGAATGAAGAATACTGAGTAACTGCTTTGAAAAAATGGCACGGTTGGCAACATCATTAGGAAGACTAAAGTGACTTCTCAAGAAATTTTGTTTCTCGAGTGATTTTTCTAGTTTAAAATTTTTTCTAGGGTTATTGCACATTTTCCATTTCAAACCCGTAGCTCATACAAATCAACTAACAACAAATCCAGACAATACACAACGTTGTATTCAAGCTGCAGTGCTGAAACAGTGAGCAACAACAAAGAGCAACAACATCTCTGCCCAGAGAGGGTTGGTGCTACCTATACTTGCATGATTTTCACTTAGCATATCAATCTGCAAAGAGTTGCAACATTACAGATTAACAGCTGCTCCAAATGTCATGAAAAACACTCTGCTTGTATGATCAATTTATATTCAGAAATGCACAATTGTAAATGTTAAAAAGCAGGATGGGGCAATAATCTAAAAATAAAAATATTTCCAGACCTGGAAATTACTCAGATCAAACGTCATTCTTTTCCACACTGCTTAGGAACCCTGTAATTCCTGTTTAGGAAATGGGCTGTAGAATAAAGGTATGTCTGCTTTGCTGATGTGCAAATTGTAATGTTTTTTATTTTAGTTTTTTCAAGACATGTGTCTGCCTGTCAAAGATATCCTACTAGCTTCAAACATGGACGTATTCAATGTTTTCTTTGCCAAGATAACCAGAGCTTTTTGAAAATGAACAAGTCTAACATTCCCTCAGGTTTACTCAGGCCAAATGACACGGACCTTTCTACCTTTATTTGGCTTAAAAGCCAAAATCTATAACAGTTTATAAATGCTCCTAAAGGTGAACTTTTCACAGACGTTCCCTCGCTGATGGTAGTGAGACACACACAAACTCTGATGTGTACACGTTACTTAGATCTCCATAACAGCGCATAATAAGGGGTTACAACCAAGCTGGATTGCTCGTGTTGCCTTAGCAGCACCGTCGGTGTAATTTGTGATGATGCACATGTGTGCCTCTGTGTACTGTCTGTGTGAAAGTGTGTTTGTGTCTGTTTACTGAACCCCACTGAGTCCCTGACACTCTGGCTGCTTTCTGCATCCTCAAATGAGGTTAAACTGCATTCAACCTCTGCAATATTCCAATCCTGTGTGTGTGTGTGTGTGTGTGTGAGGGCGTCTTTCATTTTCAGTAGTAAGGTGTTATTGTTAGAAACACCAGCACTGTTGATGGGAAGCTGCTGAGCTTGGCAACCTGCACCAGGCTGTCACACACACACACACACACACACACACACACACACACACACACACACACACAGTCTTTGTATATAGTGTAGTGCACAAAGTCTGGAGAGCCATACAGAAATGAAACACACTCAGATGTTAGTGTGCACACAATGTCACCAGAGTTGCGGGTAAGTTTACTATTTGCATCACAGCTTGACGTTGAATTCTAAAAGAGAAACAAAGTCAGATCCCTGTGACATTGGTCCTGCAGCTTTAGCCTAGTTGCCTAAAATGACCTCAGTGTTTCTTTATTGCCCTCCTAATCTCCTTTCTGTCTCCTTAAAGAAACACGCGTGTGAATGGACCAGAGGAGACAGAAAAACAACTTGAAAGAGAGAGAGAACTACTGGGCTGTTCTTACCCGACAAAGGAGATGTTCATTTTAATTAGAAAAAGTGGACAGAAAATAACATTTGCCATTTGTCTCACACTGAGTAAACCAGGATACCCATTAAGAACAATGTCTGTTTTCTGTTACAAAATACATATATTTTAAACACCAGTATGTCATGTACACAAAAAATATGCTTAACTGAACAAATTAAGAAGGTATTTAAAAAGCAATAACGTACAATTTTGCCATTTTGTAAGTAAATGA